GTAGTTCTTCGGCCTTGATCTCCTCGAAGGAGCATTTTGAAAACGAGATATTTTGGGTTTCTAGGTTTCTTTAGATGCTCTATCGATCTAGCATATAATGGAAAGAATCTGAGATTCGACAGGTGCCAGCAGTCTGAAAAAAGGTCGGTTTTCTCATGGACCGTCTCTTAAACATGAGTTCAGATTGACAGAAAAAGGAAGATCAGTTTTTTCGTTTGGCAACTGTATAGGAGAGACCGTCTAAGTATTCCATCGCCGTAGTAGTTCCACTTCGATATCGTTCTCCCAGATTATCTATGCGATCTTGAATAGCAAGTGTTTTCGCTTGTTTATTCCTAACACATAAGCCTGCCTTGAATTGAGTAAACATGTGATGGAAGCGGTTCTCTTCTCCCTGAAGAAACTTTATGAACGACCAGATGTTCGGATGATGAATTTGCACCCGACGATTGAAACGACTGTGAAACGCTAAACCAATGAGACTCTTTCAAAGTAGAGCGAGGATGGAGACGAAGATATACCCTCAGCGTTGTTGTTCGTTCGCATAGACAGACCATGGACACACCACTGATTAACAGGAACTTTGTCCAACCATTGGCCTTAGAAATAATTCAATAAGCCTGTCATCGTTTCTCTCATTCTCGTCGGTAAAGAATTGGTCAGTTCGTCATATGTATCCTCGATGATCAGTTCTGGTAGAAGTGCCAGTGCCGTTAACTTCCGACAGAAATGCTTCACATCAGCGTCGGTGTTGTAGGAAGAGGTTAGTCCAAGATGCTGTATGTTCCTGTAAATCGCCTGTGTGAAGTGAAAATAGCACGACAGATGTGCTGCGGTGCTGAATTGTAAAGCAAAGAAAGTGAAACGTGCCAACTAGTCTTAAGAAATGAAACATTTACCTCAGTCTTCACCACACCCACTAGAGCCGGTTCAAAATCACTCATCACGACTTTCGGCGTAAACTCGAGTTTCATTTGATCAGCGATGCATTTCAACTCATGAATCAGAAATTGATACGTCGTCTTCCATTTGTTTGGCAGTAATCCGAAGACGCAAGGAAACGCTACGTGGATCAGATTTACTGAGATAGATGACAGGGACTGCGTTGACTTACATTGTTCATATTTTATAGCGTGAGTGGTATAGACTTGATCGAATATTTTCGGACAGGTTGAAAACGTTCCATCCATGAGAATGGTTTTAGATGAGAAGAGTAAATTCAATTGTTCAGCCGATGAAAATAGAATCATTCTCTGCCGTCTTGTGATCATCTTGTCAACGATCAGAAAGACATCGTTTCTCAACGTTTTCGTATAGAGATCAGGTATATCAAATAGCTGTGTTGTAGGAATCGTAGGTGTAGCTCGACGACGTGCCTTGTTGACTACACTGTCTAGGAAGCAAAAGAAAATTCAATCAATTATTATTGCTCTCTCAAGAAACACTTGGTTACTCATTTCTCGTTCACTCGGTAGAATCGATATCGCAGCCAGTGACAGAATAACCTTTTCACACTCTTCATCGTATATGCGTGGGATAGGTGTGGTTTCTTGAATAGCCCGTTCTTTCACTCTTGCACGAAATTCACGAACAGTTTTTTCTTCTTCGGCAGGATGACAATGCTCGCCGATTTGCTTGACCATCGTGTTCTCCACAGTTGTATGAGCCTTCGCGGAACATCCATTGAATGTACATATCCAGTATTTCGTGTTTGGTCCGGCTTTATTCAGCTTGAATACATAGTTGTCCAAGGCAAGCATAGGTTTCCCCTTTTGCGACTGAGTGAAAGAGACGGCCAACGGTGTTTGATTTTCAGTGGTCATGCTGATCGATCTGAAACTAGATAGGACTTTGATCATTTCAATCACTCGTCTATTGCGTATCACTATTAGTACTGGCTCGAATTCCACACCAATAGAATCATATCTATGATTTGAAAGAAAAGAAGCTTACAGACGATGAACAGCAGAGACATCCTTCTTTGTCATATCTCCCTCTTCGACGTTTGTCTTTTGATATTTGTCCCTTTCATCGCTAATTATTCGGCATTTCGTCATTCGACGTTTTTCCTCTTCCTTCATCTCTTTTCGACAATTTTCTTTCGACATTAGTCCGTTCGGTCATTTTCCTTTCGGCCTAATGACGGCCAACCGAGCATTCTCAAGTGTCATTCTTCAATTTGAAGAAAATCGATGGATCCTCATGGCTCCAGGATCTGCTTTTTCCCCCTTGGCTGAAACTGATAGTCCCCTACACAGACTGCTAAGCAAGAGAACAGTAAGAAGAGGAGAGTAGCAGCAACCACTTTCTAAGATACTGAGTCAGTGAGCACAACTAAAGCACAAGTTCACTCCTCCAACACTGATCAGGGTAAGGAGCGGTGAAAATTGAAAAGAAGTAGTGTTACACCAGTCTGTTACGTTGCAATAGATTCTGTGGCCGTATTTGCAAGCTGTTTTTTATCTGTATTTCAGTGAAGTATGTATTAGGTCAAAAAATGCGGATGTGAGTGAAAGAAGAATCTGAATTTTATTTCCGAAATTAAGATCACATTCAAAATGATGGGAAAAGCAACTGTTTATGAAAAAACGTGTGGTGCCAATGTCTTCGAGACCAGATACAAAAATTGATTCGTCCAATGAAGTTGTCCATTTGGTTTGGGAGGTGCAAACGGTTCATTTGCAAGGCCCAGACTTTTAACAATCTTGTAGTACCAACGAAGAGGAGCTAAACCATTGTGAGCTAAGTGATGGCTGTTGATGAGTGCATAGACCGATGTAACTACCTGAAAATACCGAATGAACAATATTATACTAGAAAGAGAGCGTTCGGATCTGCTATGAACTTACGTCGTTAACAATAATTGTACCTGAAACACGGACAAATCAAAAAATAAAGGTAGCGGATTGAATATCTGTGTTTATATTATACATACCTTCCAAAGTAAGAGGAGAATAGTAACCCATCTTCATTTCTTCGCTAACACTTTTCACCTTAACAGACATCAACTGATTATATTCATCTCGCACGTAAATATAATCATTTTCCTGGACATTTTCGGCGTAGATAAAACTTGGTGTTGTATTTGTTTGTAAACTTAGTGCAATCAGATGTTTAGGCGTTAAGAAAACCTTTTGGCCATTCCAAGCTTCAATGGCAGTGAAAAGCGCTAAAATAAAGTACAGTTAATTGAGAGTAGGGTTTTTGTTGAAAACTAGCATAGTTGCATACTTAGCGTGGTCGGCGACGAATGTGCGACCATGAGAATTTCCGATTCAACAACTTCGTTTTTTGCTATATTCATGGCTATGACAACATCGCCGGATTTCAGTTCAGCAACAGGCTTCAATAGGCCAGATTTCATTAGAACCATCCCGTCTCCGGAGAGACATGAAAGCCGTCCGCTTGCAATACCTACCGGTGGACTTGTGTTGTTTTCTAAACCTAGAGAGGACTTAGGTGTCACAGATTGATTCGCTAAAGTTATACCTGAGACTGAACGTTCAGCATTCAACCAAATTACCAACATTATTCCAACGTAAATCAATTTGAGTGCCATTTTCACCTGCAATGATTAACTATCGATTTATGTTTGGATATCAACGGCTTTATCAAAATACACATGTATATATATATATAGACAAACGACGTGCAGAAGATTGATTTTTACAATTTTTGAAAAGTGATCTTTTTATTGACAGAGAGAAAACCAACAAGAGATTTAATTAGTTTCACATTACTCTTCATGTTTTTGATCTTTGACAAAAGCGAGTCTAATATGTTCTATTGACAGAGAAGAAAACTAATAAAAGATTTAGTTAGTTTCAAATTACCTTTCGTTTCTCCAAACTCTCACAAAAGCGATTCTAATATGTGCATGATTTATTTGTTATTTATTCATCCATTTTTTTTAAGTACCCTTATCATTCTAATTCTCGTAGCTTGGGGAAAGCTCGTCAGAATGAGCTCATATTTTGGGGTCTGCAATAGTCATAGATGACCTTTATTTTGTACTACTCAAATTAGAAATCAAAAAAATTTCTCCAGCCAACATCGTATCAGAAGTATCGTTCTCTAGCGGACTGTCTCTTAAGAAACTCGTCAGGTAAAGTTGGAATCTTATCAAGTCTGCATATCAATACTAACTCAAATCAATTCAAGCGATGCGAATAGCTAATACATTTATTGATTAATCGGGAATAGATGTCCTTTTATTCAATACAAATCAATTTCAATCACACCACCACAAATAAACATTATTGATTTGTTGTCTGTTCAACTGAAAATTTTTGTATTCGAAAATTCCATTTATCGGCGACATAGAGATTGCCATGCCGATCGAATCCTATACCAATGGGATACACGAATTGATTCGGCTGTGATCCACCACCGTTTCCACCAGCAATGACATTTCCTTCTGCGACTCCTTTTGGCCAGCGCACTATTCGATTATTCCATTGATCAGCTACGTAGACTGTGCCGAATTGATCGGCAACAACTCCTAGAGGACCTGCTAGTTGTGAAAGACTATCTCCCCTCCCTTGACCACCAGCTACAACGATGCCTTGTTTTGCAGCTTCTTCCCATTTCATTACACGATCATTTCCCCAGTCAGACACATAAACTGAATGATCCCGATCAACAGATACGTAATATGGAGAAGAGAATTGACCGAGGCCACTTCCTCTTCCATTACCACCTGCAACCACTGTTTTTTTAGATTCTCCTCTTCGATATCGTCTCACTTCATCATTTCCATAGTCAACGACATAAAGAGATCCATTCTCGTCCATTGTCAAACCCCGACAATCGATGTTCGAGATGATCGTTTCTCCACTAGTACCATGTCGACGAGACCATTGAACTACTCTCCTATTTCCCCAATCGCAGATGATGAGATTGTCTCTTTCTTTGTCGACAATCACATCGTATGGGTATTTTAACTGATGAGTTCCATTTCCTTCTCCATTACCACCTGCAACTACTTTGCCACTTTTCGCACCCAATTTCCATTCCATAATACGATTATTATCCTCATCAGCGACATAAATAGTTTGATCATCATCGACATACAAACCGAGTGGGTCATCAAGTTGATTGCTTCCATTACCATGTCCATTTCCTCCAGCCACAGTGAGACCATTCTGAGCCCATTTTTTATTCGGATGAATGTTGATAGCAGGTGCTCGTAGTGATACTTAAAATAAAGAAAAACAATTATCACAATAAGAGATGGAACAAAGTTTTGAAAAAAGAATGATTCTATCCGAAAGGGTAGTGAATAAAAGTGAAATATGTAACTGAATTCTACGAAATTGAAATACAATATGAACTACTAACTGAGATCTTTTATTTTATTTTGTCGTTCGTTTGTTCCTTCAGTCATCTCATTGTCAACACACGTTTATGTCTCTTGTTGTCCTTGTAGCAAGGGAGGAACGCAGACTTCATGCTTCATGTACTTCTCTGTACTTCAGAAGTCTTGCTCCCTCCACCCTCGCCTCCTTGCCCTAGAGACTATCCATCTTATCAGACAAAGTGACATATTTGTAAAATTTGAAAAATACAATTCTGCTATGCACTGACATGGTCCAAGGTTATTAATAATGACAATTGTACAAATTAGGAACGGAAAGGGTGCATACTTTTCTCTTGGTTTACATGAGCAAGAACGTATTATATGATTATGTTAATTTACTACATTTTGATGAAGTATTATTTTGAAAAACTTGTTCTCCACAATTCATAAAGTATAATTCTTTCACCAGTAATACTTAAATATTAAAATCAATGTATGTTTTAAAAAAATGAAAACTCACGATGCCAAAATACTTCAATGAGAAAATGGAAACCTAATCAATGATTAGAAGCTATTCTACTATCTTATTTGTGTATTACTTTTCAAAACTATTACTGATTATCATTAGTAGTACTATATGTCATCCCTAATGCAGATTAATATTAGATGCTAAATGCGTATATCTGATTTTAAATTAGTTTTAAGCGAAACTAAGACGCATTAACGTAAGCTTTACCAAACTGCTGTGCAGTGGTTGTAGTTGTCAAATCCGCACCGCTAAAATAGAAAATCGATAAATGTGAGTAGAATCATACATAAAAATCGATCGCATTTACCTCAGAAGAACAAAAACGATAGAACATATTACACTTCTGATCATAGCTTGTGTTGACATGACGCAGTATGGTGAGGGTGTCTCTTTTTTTTATACCTAACACATAAATGATATTTTAAGCCACACTGCTTTAAAGTCGAAAAGCACACATTCTAATGCTTTGACAAACGGAAACTCAATATTGCTCCTATTACTTTTAACGTTCTTATTGTGTTCTACGAAAAATATAATTTTTCTAAATTCAAAGAGACGAACCAACAAGTAAGGTTCATCGAATCTCGATTCACTCGTCCCTAGACTGACTTGTTCATTTATAGCTGATTTTTTCCATTGTATTGCGATTGTCTGTGGATAAATCAGTTGTATTTGTGAGCAGTAGATGAGGACAAGATCTCGATCTAGTGATGGCTAATGTTTTATTTTTCACTTTCGTCAGTATCTGTTTAGCTGCAAATGAAAAGGAGAACGTCATATTCTAGGAAAAGTTCATGATTCCGTAAACAGTTCGAATGGCGGTGAACTATTCTTTTGTAATGTTTTAAAAAACATCGAAGAGACTCTAAATGTTGGCAAATTTCGACGAATTCTTCAGTTTTGACAGGATGATGGAAAAGTGATCGTAAGCCTAAGTAAAGCAAATTGACTTCGAAACCAATATCGTTTTTGTAGTGACTCTCTAGATTAACTTCTGTGTTGCGTTCGAAAAGGATTTTGAACAAGTCACAGCATTTTTGCGTAGTTATTGCAGTTGATTGATTGGTTGCTGCAATCATTAGCACATTGTTCGCGTCATCATCGATCTTATGATAATGCTGGGTGAGGCTGAGGCTGAGGGTGAGTGTGAGTCCATATAGGTAATTTAAAATCCAAGTTACGAATGACCATCGTTTAGGACGGAACTTCAACCATTCATCATCAGGCGAGTTTAGATTTTAGTAGTGAAGATCGATCCAACACGTAGGATGGAATATCAAAATCATTTTCTTAATAGAAGACATACTGAAGTATACACTTGATTTCGTTGTTTCAAAATCCATCACTTGGAAGATAATCAAGTATTTTATTTTATTATTATGGTTATCCTTGGTTGTGATTGATGCTAGTCCAGTTGCTGCACCATCAAGAGGGGTTCTTGATCTTCAGTCAGCATGCGCCCGAATGGATATGTGGGGTTGAAGTGAAGTGGCGAAGGCATTATGTGGCGCTGTTGGTCCTTGTATCAATCTCAAGGAAGACCGGTCTGCAGTTGTTCTCGTTGTGCACCAGGCGCTGGATGTGGTATCGGCTGTGCACTGTCAGGAAAGCAATGAAATCAGCAACCATCGAAAAGGAAACAGAGATTGACACTCAAGAAACTTTTTTCTTTTATCCACAACAATTTCTTCTTCAAGAGTTTGAAATGAATTCATCAACTTCTCAGACTTCACTTTCTATCAAAGATGATCTTACTAACTAATCACCGTCTAGAGTAAAACTCAGACGAATACACAGAATCCATACTCTGGCTCTATCTCTTTTGCGAGGGGATTATTCCCAGCGCAATACTTGTCCACATTTGCTGAATAACTAATCTTTATGTCCCTGCTCCAAATCTTCCACATTCTTCAGTCTGCTTCCGAGTAAAACAGCCAAAACTCGTTAACAAGTGATCTTCATCCATGCAAGTGCGAAACGCAGACTAGGTACGCTTCGAGTCCTCCATCGAGCCAGTTGCTTCCGGAGTTGAAGCATTTTTCCTCTCTCAATTCATCTAAGCATGGGAGACTAACTTACATCGGTATAAGTTCGTAGCTCATTCGCATTCAAACACGAGATCGACGATGAATTCGAGACAACAACGCACCGTATCTTGAACGAGAGAAGGCAGAGAATAATATATTGAGTTCGATTCAATATATTAGCTCTGAATCAACTAGCTAAAGGATATCCATACTTGTCACAGTCATCGTCTCCTGTATCATATATTTTCTGCTGTTAGAAAGATAATTTTGAGATCTTTCCGGGACAGCGAGCGCTTTCGATTTCACTGATGAGTGAATTTGGTGCTCTGCCGATTGCAATCCAATCACGCGCTTTGTTCGAATAGTAACAGGAGATAAGTCTCTGAAGGTGAGCCTGCCTTCCATTGGATGTCGAAATGAATAGTTCTTGATAACAAGACTGATGATTTCTTGGCGGATCAGAGCAATGGACACTGTACTGAATACTAGTAAGCTGAAATGAATGATTCGAGTAGCTCAACCACCAGAATCATCGTTGCATCGCATACAGAGAGCAATTCGACAAGAATAGGGCAGCGATACAACGCGAGATCAAGATGTCGTGACACCCGCACTATGCCATATGCCTATTGAGGTGGTGAATGTCAGCGTAAGAGAGCACCAGCATAGAGAGAGAACGCCTTTTGTTGCTGTGTCTTGGGCAGAACAGAGAGAGATGCAGCAGGCACAGTGGGACGAAATGAGAGAATGAAAGAATTTTCGGAGGAGGTCGAAGGCCGACCAAAGCGCTCAGTGGAGCCAACGGAGAGATGATCAGGCAAAATATCCGAGAGTCAGAGTGAATAATGCGAACTGAGCGCTCAATCAGTTCAATTCGCAAGGAAAGGCTGATTATTCCGTGCAACGCTTCAATTCTGTGAAGCAGATTGCCATTTTGTGGAGGAACTATTCAATTTGCGACACAGCAGCCGAGAGAGAGAATGAAGAGGAAGTTGACAGATATGAGTCAAGAACAGAACATAGAAAGAATGCTGATCAAGATTTCGTGGCACCCGCACCATGCCATATACCTTTGTGAGCAGCGGGACTGGTCACTCCTTTCGTGGCACCCGCACTATACCATATCCTCATTGAGGTAGTGTGTGTGTCAGAGTATGAGGGCACCAGCATGAGGAGAGAACGCCTTCTGGAGTCGTGTCTTGGACTGTGGAAGAGAGACAGAGTTGTCCAGATCAACAGACAACATATCCAACAATCTAAGCAAATGATCACTACTGAAGGGCAAATCATGTCATCTTGCAAGGGGAGAATGATTCTTCTATTCAACTCGACATTTCTTCAAAGAGATTGCCACGTTGTGGAGGAGTTCTTCAGTTTTGAACGACGACGAATCAACAACGATCAGAGCCAACGTTCGACTTCAGGGGAAAAGCGAGAAACGTAGACAGATTCAATTAACTAACATTCACGGTATCCGCACCGCACCTTCAGCCATCCGGGTTAATTTTTTTGTGCCTCTCATTTGTGTTTCACTGTCATTTCTGAGCGTTTCTCTTCTTATCTAGATAGAAAATTTCGGTTGCCTTGAGGCTTTTCCGATCAGGGCAAAAGACTTCTTGAGGGTAGCAGAGTGGAATCAAGATTTCGTGGCACTCGCACCATCCAATATACCCCTGTGAGCTGCGGGACTGGTCACTCCTTTCGTGGCACCCGCATCATGCCATATGCCGCTGAGAAGTAGTAAGTGTCCGAGCGAGAGAGCACCCGCATGAAGAGAGAACGTCTTCTGAGGTTGTGTCGTGGACTGACGGATAGACAAGACAGCAAAGAGCTTGAGCATATGCTAAGAACTGACGACTAAATCATTGAAAGAAGGATGATTCACTTTAATTCTCCAAAGAGATTGGCATTCTGTGGAGGACTACTTCAATTTGCGATACAGCGGCCGGAAGAGAGAATGAAGAGGAGGTCGACCGATAATGACCGAAACGAGTCACGAATAGGACATTGTAAAAACGCTGAATCCAGATTTCGTGGCACCCGCACCATGCCATATGCCTATTGAGGTAGTGAGTGTCATAGTGAAAGAGCACCAGCATAGAGAGAGAAAGAACGCCTTCTGAAGTTGTGTTTTGGACAGCAGCAGGCATAGTGAGGCGGAATCAGAGAATGAAGGAATTCGAGGGAGGCCGAAGGCCGACCACAGGGCGCAGTGGAACTGAGGGTGAGATGAACAGACATATCAGCCTCGAGTCTGAGCAAATGCTGAGAATTCAGTGCTTAGTCTGATCAGTTGGCAAGAAAAAAATGATTTTTCTGTTCAAATCGACTATTATTCAAGGATGTTGCCCTTTTGCGGAGGAATTCGCCAATTTCGAACGACGAAGCAAGAACGACCATCCAAATCTCGAGCAGAGATATCTAGAGGCGTTGGTGAGTTGTGTGAGCTGGAGGGCGAAAGAACGAATCTTCCCAGATTAGGATAGGGCGGCTACCTGCAATCAAGATTGGTTGCTGACGGTGATCTTGTAGTGAAATGCAATTGCTGTCTGCTGTGTGGTGCCTCGCATGGTGTAAGTCAGTGATAGTTTTGCAGTGATCAGATTTGCTGTGTCATCCTCGATCGATTGAAAAACAATGAAATTCCTGTCATTGAATGTCAATGCATTCTTTTACGCCTATCCATTCAAAAGAATGTCGAGAATAACTTGTTTGTCGTTTTTCGGGATTGCATCGCATCACGTACACATGGATAGTTATGATCAGAATACTCCCATTAGAGACCGGCATTACCACCGTTGGTGCTCAGAGAGAGATAGGTTTCAAAAGGTTAGTTCTCATTCACACATTTCATTCAGCATGTTCTGCCATAGGACAAGTAAGTTACTTCTCTTTCATCAGCTGAGCCTTATCAGTATCTGGATTATAGCATAACAACGAATACTTAGTCCAGTCAATCCTATCCATCACTACCAAAACGAGAATATTTTCGTAAAACGTCAATTAAAATTAGTTGCTGCGATGCATCTGCACTTACGGCTTCATCTTTCTTCAGTTCTCGGATTCCTCGCTCCACCCGAAGGTTCTTCTGATAATTAAGATGAAATCATGATCGTGAGATTATTCTATGACTCACCCTCTGATCTCCCTAATGCGACTAGATGTTGTCATCATACGAGACAGTGTGTGACAGTGATAACTGGATCTTGTGATTTATTTAGTTTTGAATTACTCAGAATCTTTGCCATCTGATGAGCTTCGTTGCTGAAGTGCAATCCATACATTATGGTTGCTGTTCTCACCCACACCCACACCCTCACCCCTCCTGTGGAAAGGCGGTGTCTTCGTCAACGTTGAAAAAGATGTCAGAACGAAAAAGGGAATTGAAGAGTCGTGCCGGCGATTAGACGTCTAGATACGTCAGCAAAAAATACAATTCATCATCATCATTGTTAGTTGCAGAACTCTCTTTCAAGTCACATTGAAATATCTCCGTAATCCGATGGGTGAAGGTAGTAAAGATTTTTCTCCTTTGAGCATGTGTTTTATTATCGCTCTTGTTTTTTTTGCTCAGAAATATCTAAAAAACGTGCTGTTAGTGTAGCACCCAAACGGCACATTGCCGTGATCAACTAATGTTGATTCAGCGTAGCTTTCATTGACTACTGACTATGCTGATTTTTATTGCGAACGAGAAAAAAACCCACTGCTAAGAGTCAACACGGTGCACCATTCGTCGACTGCTGCATGGACTTTTTTCCCCACACATGCAAGCATTTCCATAAGAGTCCTTGAGCAAACCCATCTTTTTTTCTTTCGACGAAAGAAAAATTAGGGGAGAGTACGCAGAGCAAACAATTATTGTAGGCTCTCTACAGGTGATTTGAAATAGGGTGTAGGTGTGGGTTTGGGTTTGGGTGGATGTGAGGGTAAGCGGTTGAGATATGAAATGATTCGAAGGTCATGAACCTATTTCTACTACGAGAGCCATTTGCAGGTGACGCGAGGAAGATTTGCATGCGATCTGAAAAGGACTCCGTCAAACTGCTCAAAAACCGGATATGAGTACCCCGAAACTTGACGCAGTATACACCATCGATCTGAGTAAGATTAAGGGCAGAAAGCATCATTTCATTGATGTTGGAAATGAAATCTGTTTTTATTCGAGTTTTGCCATTGGATGTTGTGCTTGTCAATCTGATCCTGGTGAGAACATCGATGATGCAACTAGAAAATCAACAAAATTCCTTGTGGCAATGAACAGCTTTTCTTCTTCTCATAAAGGTTGTGGCGGGTACTGAATAGCTCTCACCTGTGGGGCCTCAACGATTGATTTCGTTCTCGGAAAGGTCGAGAAAAGGATGAAATGCTTTATTCTTGTCAATGAACTACGGTGTTCCTTTTTACTGTTGAAAAATAATAAACTGAATGAATTGTGAATTGCAAATTTCAAGCGAAACATGAAGTTGACGGAAGGGGTCTTTCTTCGCAGTGTTCGAATAAATTCATGCAGGTCTGCTCTATAACGTTCCGCATAAAAAGAGAATGTCTCATTTTCGGACAGAAACGCACCATTGTAATCTTCCGAAGATAGATGAAGAGATCACAATGCGTTATGGAGCTGATTGAAGATAATACGAAGAATCAAGGGATCTTCACATCATTGAAGAAAGTGTCCTCTAATCGAAATTCTTCTCTCTCATCAACAACATCAATGAACAGAGGGTGAGGGCGTCAATATCAATGGACCCCACACCTCAATGAGGGTGAGGCGATAGATACGAACCTCGATGCTGGATTCCCAAGAGTTCCACTGAGTTGGAGAATTCGGCCCCATCTCATGGAAAAACGATCTCGACAAAACGATGGACTTCTGAAGATCTGAGGATTTTATTCACAACGCTTCGAGATTGTGTTTCAGCTAGGTGAGAGAACTGATGAAACAGGGATCTTCGATCCAGCAAGCCCTTGGACCATAGTT